ATCGTAATCTGTTTTTTGTTTAGTACTCTGGCTTCTTCCCAAAGCCCAAAAACATGTCTGTTTCCTTAATTGGAGACTAAATTGCCTCTAGGAGTGTATGTTTTGTTGTTTGTCTCTGTGTGGCCCAGTTATGTGGAGATGAGGGTTATAGAGGATGGATGTTTTTGTTTTGCTGCCTCTTAATGACCCATTTATTTCAATGCAGGCCCTCCTTTCTTTTGAGTCTGACACATTTTTATGTCGCTTCTTAGACATTAGAGGAGGGGGAAAAAAAGCACAACTTATCTAATTCACTTCACAGGTAAAGCTGGCTGCACTCTGCTTCCTCACAGCTGGGGGGCACTAAAGCCTGAACGCTGTTTTCCCCTAGGAAGCAAAAGTCTCCACAAGATCTGAAGGGTTAGGAGTCAAATTTGAGCATTTGGGGTCAAATCAGGTTATTTTTGATCACAGCTTTCTTTTTTAGGAACAAGAAAAGTCAGAATGCTACGTTTCTTGCTTCCCACCCCCCTCAAATCCTGTTTTGTTGCTTTGATCTTTCCATTTTTTTCCGTCTGCCCTCCGACCAGCAGGTGTCCCAGCACCTGTACTCGCCTCCTCCAAGAAGTCCAGCTTCATAGGTACATCGATAACACCCCTCAGTTTCCCCCCAAAACGGGCTCAGAGCTCCTTTTCCCGTAGATGAAGCTGTCTTCTCCACTCTGGCTCAGCCGTCGGAAAGCTGGCGTCCGCCTGTGGCCCAGACAGCCGGACGGTTGCCAGGGGTTACGACAGAGCCCGGCTCTCCTCTCTGCAGAGCAGCTTTCTCCTGTAGAGTAGTTTGTAAAATTCTCCCAGCACCGGGCCGCCTCCTTAAAATGGATTAGTACACCTCTAATCACCCTTTTAGCATCTGAAAGGAAACGGACGGTAGAGGGGAACTGGGTCTGTAGTTGTTCGGTGTTTTGTGTCCTTACGGGGTCGGCTTTAGTTACTAAATTGAACCATAAATCTTGATCTGTTTCTTTTTGTTGGCGCTGCAGATGACGTAAAAGCAGGTGAGAAGAATGAAGATTAGCAAAGCTAGATTAATGGTTCCCATTAGTCCCCCCCCCCTGCATTTAGTAGAGCTCTCTGTCCTCCTCTAGACCAGACTCAAGAGTCTTTTCTTTGCTTCTTCGGCTCATCTGATCTGTCTCCGTCTCTGTCCTCACGCTGCCCAGCCCCTCAGTCCGAGCCCAAACCCTTCAGTCCACTGTCGGACTCGAAGAGAGGTATGTGAGACACGACGAGAAGATGAAACCTGGGGGGGGAAGGTGGTCAGAGAAACGCCGAACGGTTCCACAGACACTCAGTAAACAAAGGCAACAAATCCAGGAGTTAAAGAGAACATTAAAAGAGCAAAAAACTCTATATATGTTAAATTTATAATAGCTGTGGTCAATTCAGATTTTTTTTTAAATACCTTTTTTCCCTGAATAGACATTAAAGCCCTCATGGCTGGCTGTTTTCCTAATATGAGATTCTTTTCTCATTAAGATAAAAGGAACCGGCTAATGGACCAGAACTGAGCTTATTCACAGTCCGCCTGAGAATTTACAGCTTTTCATGGTTTTTGCATCATCAAAGTCAGT